GTACCCCGGTTCTGACGGGATATGACGAGTCTTACCGTTTGAAGGCTTTTCACCCACCTAACCCGTGAGGACATCACTATATAAGAACTCCGACCCCCAAAGCCAAAGAGAGAAAAAAAAGAATGGTAACCCCTGCTCTCTATCTCTCTCATTTCTCTCCAAGCTCTCTGTAATCAGAATGCTAACTTAAGCATCGGAGAGTCCCCGTTGGGAAAATACCCCCGGGTCCTCTGATTCAGTTCTCACAGGTCCCTCAGCTCCCGTCGCCTACAAAGGAGAGGAAATCACCTCATGTAGAGGGTAGTCGGGTTGCGCTGCACCAGGGAGCTCCACCATCCTCTGAGTTGCAGGCCGCCTAGGAGCAGGTCAAATGACGAGTCCACCAGGGAGCTCGCCACCAGGCAGTTCGCCACCAAGCAACTCGCCACCAGGGAGCTCACCACTAAGCAGTTCGCCACCAGGGAGCTTGCCACCGGGCAGTTCTCCACCAGGGAGTTTGCCACCAAGCAGTTCGCCACCAGGGAGCTCGCCACCAGGCAGTTTGCCACCAGGTAGCTCGCCACCAGGCAGTTCGCCACTAGGGAGCTCACCACCAAGCAGTTCGCCACCAGGGAGCTCGCCACCGGACAGTTCTCCACCAGGGAGTTTGCCACCAAGCAGTTCATCACCAAGTAGCTTTCCACCAGGGAGCTCACCACCAGGCAGTTCTCCACCAGGGAGTTCGCCACCAAGCAGTTCCTCACCAAGTAGCTCTCCACCAGGGAGTTCGCCACCAAGTAGCTCATCACCAAGGCACGTCACCACCAGGTCAAATAACGAGGTACTTAGCCAAAAAAATTTATACATCAGAAAAAATGGTACGTGACCAGAAACGGTTACATCAGTTATAATCAAATTTCATTGTCCTCTAACTAATCATACATTATCATGTTCCTAGCGAGGGGTTTCATTGTTTTAATTCTTATTCCTTCTAAAAAAAAGGGCAATAATGAACGGAATATGAATATTTTGATAAATTCTTGAGATATATTCTTTTTAGAATGAAATTAGGTTTATGGCAAAAAAAAAAGTATATAGTTTTTAGCACAAAAGATATTCATGCTTCTCTCTTTCCATTCCATTTTTCATGGATTAGGTTCAGGTATAATCAGTCCCGAACCGATTATTAATTGGAACAAAATCACTAACATATTCATCAATATCTTCATCTTATTTGTCTATATATTGATTAATGAAAAAAAATGGATAGAAATAAAATGGGTTAAAATTTATTCTTATTCTTATTAAAAAATATATATTTTTTTAAGCATTTGATTCATAACAATATTTTTTCATGCTACCCTTTTTTATTTATTCTTTTTCATCTTAGAAAAAAATAAAAAAAAAAGTTGAACCAGACATGACCTAAATTTAGAGCGGAAATTGGGCAGACGGCAGACCAACACGGCAACACCCCCTGTACCCTACTCTGCTCCTCTCTGTACTAGCTATTAGGATTGTGAGTTGTGTTAGGGTTTGGTTAATCAATAACCCGTCCGACTCATAGTAATTTCACACCGATTAAATCCGATATAACCTCATCAGATCCGATAAATATCCGAATTGATTTTAATACGAGAAAATTTACAAAGTTACAAACAATATTATAGGTTTGTAAGGCTAAAAATTAATATACAAATATATATATTTTAAAATATATTTGTCTTTTCTTAGATATCAACATACCGTCGTCCTTGAAGAACTTCATTTGTGCTGTTCAAAAAAAAAAAAAAAACATTTACAGAGTGCACGAACAGCGATCGTATTCCACAGTTCTAATTATATTTCAGCTTTTTTCCAGAAAATTCATTCGGATTGAAACTGGTTTGGAATCAAAGATTTGAATTAGTTGGTCAATAAATCGAATTCGGACATTTGCTAGTTGGCTTCGAATTCGCTCCATTTACACTCCTACGGATACGGACGCAAATTACATACCGTATTTTATCGGGTTGGATCGGGTTATATGTATGGACTGAACTGAGCCCATTACCATCTAGTCGGCAATTTTGATCCTGACCCATTTGATCAACTCAATCCATCGGCTTCATAATCCACCTATACCCACTCATTTCAGGAGCGGGTCATATGGGTTAAGTGACCCATCAGGGTTAGGGTAGGTTGGGTCGAGGGTACCCATTGGGTCATAAAGGGTTAGGGTAGGTTGGGTCCAAGATACCCATTGGGTCATAAAGGTTAGAGTTAGTTGGGTCGAGGAGAGAGTCAAGGGAAGAGGGTGAAAAGAGACAGAAATCAGAACAATCAAATAGATTTCTCTCAAACCTGTTCATGGGCCGAATAGCCCGACGCCCAACCCAATCTAAGTCAGGCTTGGATAGGATTTTAGGCCTATGGGCTTGGACTCAAGCTTAAAAGTATCGGGCCCAACCTTTTTTTGGACCAGGCTGAGGCTTTCTCAAAAAAGCCTAGCCTAAACCCATGCTCAACTTGATAATATATTATATAATAAAATATATTTTATATAATAAAAATCATATATAATATATTTTTTCTTCTCTTTTTTCAAGTAATAATGAGATCTTTCATTATTTTTCTAGGTTTCAATGTCTTTTTATATAAATAAATTAGTTTTTAATTGAATTAAAAAGGGAAAATTTATTTTTTTTCCAAATTTTTGGCCAGGCTCGAGCTTTATATGAGAGCCGGGCTTAGGCTCAAGAATTAGGCCTGATGATTAGGCTGGGCTCGAGCTCGGGCCTGGGCATATTCTATTAATGTTGATTGTAGAGGCAAGCCCAACCTAAACTCGCCTAGCCTGGCCCGTAGGGTCGAAAGCTATTGAGGCTTGGAATTTGTTTCGCCATTGGAGATTAAGCCATAAGTTTCTTCTTAGTTATAGGGGTGTTGGTCAAATCTGGGTCTTCGGATTAGATTAGATCGGATTCAAATCATCCCTACCTGATCCAAGAAGATCCAATCCAATATATATTATATATTTATAAATATAAATATATATAATACATATATATGTTATTTATTTATTTATAAATATATTTTTATATTATATTTTATAAATTTGTTATGTTATTTATTTTTTATAGAAAACATATATATATATATAATAAAAATAATTAAAAATATTTATATATTTTTTGTTGTTATTTTATTTAATTTAGGTGAGACTGAATGGATCAGTATGAGTGAGGGTGGGTATTATCCATCCTGGTCATGGGTCAAGATGGATGGATGGATGAGGGTGGGTGAGGATAGGGTGGGTTGTGATCCATTAACTTGATGATGGGTTGGTGAATGAATATGGGTGGGTTGATATTCAACTTCAACCCTTACCCAACCCAACCATTTGCCACCCCTGCCATCTCAAGCCCTAACTCCTGCGGACCCAAATTCCCAATGCTCACTTGGACTTGAAATTGCAGGAAAGGAAGGACTCCAGCAATGGAGGACTAGGGTTCGTGATTGTGTGCTTTTCTTTCAACCAGTGGAGATGCAACTGACACTCGAATTTGGGTAAGAATTCTTCCTCCATAGTTCTTTTATTCCCTCATGTAATGGCTTTTATCAATCAAAAGTGTTTACGACTAGGGTTTGTTATTGTGTGCTTTTCTTCTGATTAGTGGAGATGCAACTGACACTCGAATTTGGGTGAAATTCTTCTTTCCCAGTTCTTTTATTACCCTTTTCATGGTTTTTATCAATCATAAGTGGTCTGTAGTTTGGGCTTCTCTGACTCTTGAGTAAATGATTTTTACTCAGCATCTATGATACAAACATGGATACTCTCTCAGTCTCTCCCTTAGACCTCACACTGATTTAAACACGTCAAGAAATCTTCCAGTAAATAAAACTACTTGTATAAAGATTTCTCACCCCTGCCCCTGGTTTGTGCGTTTTCTGCAAGTTAAGTGTATCATTGTACAAATTCCGGTACGAAGCTATTTTATTTTTATTATACAAACTTGTTAGTCGTTCATTTCTTCACTTCTTTAAGAACTTCATGGAGGAGCAGAAGAATTTAAGCTTTTCTTTGATTTGGAGTGGAAACGGAAAATTAGGATGGAAAAGGAAGCATGAATCTGGTATTTTCACGATTTTACTCTGACCCCAAGAAAATAAAGCTGTATGGCAATTAGAAGCAGGGGAACAACAGAAATTTTTGCTCGGTTGCTGATGTTCTAGTGGGTTTTGTTATTTGTAGGGTACTATAGTCATTCCTGATCCACTGATTTTGCAACTCCATCCTTGGTTTCTGGTTCCACCATCCAAACTGTTTCTTGATCATGGTGGTGGCACAGAGTTAAAGGGGAATCATCCAGCTGATCTGTCATAATTTTGAGACAAGCAAGAGTAGAGGTTTGTGTAGATATACTGTGTAGGAACTGGGAAGAGGAAGGATAACATTGAAATAGAGTTAGGGGTTTTGTTGGCACAAAAAGATATTTCCATACTTTAAACCATCCATCCATAAAGGAAAATCCTAATTTTAAAATTATTTTAACCATCTTGCATGTAATCTTCTACTGACAGATAGTTAACAAGGGGGACTCAACTAGAGTTGAATTACTAAGGTTCCTCCAAGGATAAAGTGTGGAAACTGCTGAACTATAGGGACGTTGTGGATTTGTGGTAGAGGGGGATTCCTGGGTAGTTATTGGTTAGCTCCAAAAAGCAGGTTGGAACTTGGAAGCACAGGGATTCAATGAAGTGAATTTCCTGGCCATACAGCCAAGATCTTCCTTTGTATGGGCCTGAAGATCAGATGACAGCATCACTGATGCATTGTCAAGATGGGGTATAACCGGGAACCAGTTGTATTGGGGGTAACAAATTAGGAAACCTGACTGTATGAAAAAGCAAGTTTTCTGGTCATGTAGTTAGCTAGCAAAGCTAGCCTCAAGTTCTTTGTGGGGGTGCTTGGCACATCTAGTATTCCAAATAAATTCATTTTTTTATCATTGAAAGTTTACCAATAAAAAATCTCATACATCACAGACCTAGTTCTTGTTCCCTTTCATGTGAAGTTCTTTTTGCTAGATTAGTCATTTAGTATAGCTACATGACATGTTTCCTTTGCACATGGTTTCAATAGAAATCATAGGCTTACTGGTTCCATGATTCTATCATCATGAATTCTTTTATTTTCCTTCTTCTGTTTTTGATGCACTTTTATCTTTATCATTTGACCTTTTACTGCAGTGGCGGCCTTGAGCTTCTTTGCCAGTCAGTAAAGATCCATAAGGTTAATGTTGATCTACAAGCTGGAAAAGAGAAGGTGATTTAAAGTTTCATTGAGTATTTATCCAAACCCGAGTATAAATCTATATTTAGGTACTTATATTCTCTCTCTGTTCTTTTTTTTGGCCTTTGACTGGTATACCTTTTGGTATGTTCTTGTCAGTTAACAATGAGAGACTTGCTTTCTTGGGTCCGTACCAATTTGATCAAGGAGAGGCCTGAAATGTTCATGAAAGGAGAATCTGTGTATGTTGGAGGCAACTTACAATTTTACTTAAAATTGAAGATTTTATTGGTTATTTTACACTAGAATTATACTTTACTTTCATTATCTTCTTGTTCTTGTTATCTGTTCCTCTCCTTTTTGTTCTATGCAAATATTTGTTCTTGTTTGATGTGCGCAAGCTTTTGTTTTTGACATGCCACCCTGTGCAGGAGGCCTGGTGTGCTGGTCCTTATAAATGACTGCGATTGGGAGCTAAGTGGCCAACTCGATACCACATTGGTGGAGAAAGATGTGATAGTTTTCATATCGACCTTGCATGGAGGTTAACATTTATTAAGAACGTAAATGCTTACACTGATAATGGGCCTGTTTTATGCTACTTAGTCCAGCATCAAGGTCTGCATAAAATTTCTATAACAATCATCATGTTGAAAGCTTTTTAAGTCTACAGTTAGATATCCATCTATACTTATCCTATTTCAATATAATATTTGATAATGGTGGTGCTTCAAAATTCTGTACTAGCATTTTTCCCTTTGAGGTGTTCAAGAACGAGGACTCAAGCCTCAATATTTCAAAATTCAGGCATCCAATATTGATGTAAAGAGTAAAATGAACAAATAATGAAGGGATGTGGCATATTATGGGTTTAGTGTCTCCGATTGATAGCTTCATTTGAGCAAAGAAATGGGGGTAACTAGCCCTACACTGTTTTTCTGGAGCAGAATCATGTGTTATAGGTTTGAGACCATATTTCCTTGGTAAGCATACTGCAATCCAATTCCAACCTCAGGAGGTTTCTTCTTCAGTTAGAAGGGAAAACAGAGCTTTTCCCGTAGAAAGGGGACGACTAGTAGCTGAAATATTTCAGTCAGACTCAGACCTCCCTGAACTATGGGGTCTGTTACAAAGACTTCCATGTACTTTGTTTTGTGACAAACTGACAATTATGACCGTGAGACAAAGACCCCCTTTAGCTTTATGTTAAAATCCGTCGTTGTAAAATTTTTAATCCCCATACTATCCTTGCCCATTTTCAAATTCTTTTGCAAATTGCAAGTGGACCCGAGCGATAACCAGAAGACAAACTCCCCTCGCGTTAATTTACAAGTTCCTCTGCTGGTTGCTGTTGTGTGTTGACTGATAGATTATCGATGTCTCTCCTCACCAAGAGAAAGCAGCAGCACCTATGGGAAATTCAAAATTTCCCTTCTCATTTTTTCACTCTTTTTTGTTCTCAGAACATCCCATGATGCAGCTGCAGCAACAAGGGACACAATAATAACAGAGGGTGAAGGGGTTCAGGACTGGGATCACTTGGAGTCCGAAGGTGGAATTTTCAGACTGGGATTTTTCAGCCCGGGCGCTTCAAGGAATCGCTACCTGGGTATTTCCTACAACAAAGCTCGAGATGCGACCGTTGTCTGGGTTGCCAATCGAAATACCCCAATTGCCGATTCCTCCGGTCTTACGATCGACGGCGACGGAAAATTGAAAATCACACACAATGGAGGCAGTGCTATTATGTTATATTCCAACAGACCGCTGATAACGTGACAACTACTCTATTGGACTCGGGAAATTCTGTTCTGAGGGAGGTCGATTCTAATGGAACTGCAACACGGGTATTGTGGCAGAGCTTCGATTATCCCACGGACACGCTTCTGCCCGGGATGAAACTGGGCTTCAACTCGAAGACCGGTCATAACTGGACTCTAACTTCTTGGCTGACCAAGGAAGACCTGTCGTCGGGGGATTTCTCTCTGGGCGGGGACCCAATGGGTACTAACCAGTTGTTGGCCTGGCGTCGACAGGATGTTTACTGGAAAAGCGGAGTGTGGGATGGCCGAAGCTTCAAGAGCGTCCCTGAGTTGACATCCGATAATGACACATACAATTTCAGCTACGTCTGGAGTGAGAACGAGAGATACTTCACTTACTCCCTAAAGCAAAATTCTTCCCCTCCGTCGTTTTGGGTGCTAGATTCTGAAGGAAACATCAGGCAATATAAATTCTACAACTGGAACGACGATAAATATGATAGTTTCATCATTGTGTGTCCAACCCATCTGCCCTACAACTACTCCAGAGAAAACAAGAAAGGGTGTGTGGAGCAGAAGGTACCAGAGTGCAGGAGAGGAGAGTTGTTCTATTCCAAACAGGGGTATATGGATGGACCCGGATCTTTCTACACTTCCTTGGATACGAGCTCGAGGCTCCGAGACTGTGCAGACATGTGCTGGAGCAATTGTTCTTTGGAATAGAGATTTTACTTTTCGGGAATCATTCCCTTGGAATCCTATTTGATGCTGCACGATCTGGGCACTCCTAACTGGCTGTGACCTAGCTTCCGGCTGGAACGAACGGCACCTGAGAGAAAAGAGGAAGTGAAGGGTTCCCGGGAAGATATCCCGGTGGGAACACTCCGACGGCTAAGTTAGAACTGGAGAAGAATCTCAAAGAGAGAGTAGAGAGTAAGAGTGTTGAAAGTGCTTAAGGTTCAATACCTTTGCTTCGCGAGGGTGGTGGTCCTTTTATACCGGAGGTCGGTCACATTAGGTGTAACCGTCACTACCAGGACTGAGGTGGCAGGTGCAGGCCGCCACTACGGGCTGCTGCTGCAGGGTACGGACTCGTCAAGCGTGCTATGCTTTTCAGGGACAACAGGCACGACGCCGCCTGGCAAGAGATGTGGGCACTGCCNGGGACAACAGGCACGACGCCGCCTGGCAAGAGATGTGGGCACTGCCACCAGATCCGACAGGTACGGATGTCAGGCGGATCTTCCCTACAGGCTGCCGAACTACTTTGATTCGGCATGTACGGATTCTGCGGATGCAGTCCCGAGGTACTTCTCCCTTGGGACACTTAGCCAAAAGCTGAGATGCCCCCTCCTCAAGAGAGGAGAGCTCGGGGCTCCCTAGGAGAGGAGAGCTCGGGGCTCAGGGGGAGCTCGGGGCTCCCTACGAGAGGAGAGTTCGGGGCTCAAGGGGAGCTTGGGCTCCTTCGCGGGGAGCCCGGGTCCCTTAGGGCTGCGGGAGATCGGGGCGCTTAGGCCTTGTGCTTGGGGCGGGCTGAGCCTCGCCTCCTAGCGAGCTGTTACTACCGCCGAGTCGCTTGGTCGGGCTTCGTCGAGCTTGTTACGCCGGGTTGTGGCCAGGCTATCATGCTGAGTTGTTGTTCATGCTAGGTCATG